TAGTAAGTATGCTTCATGTACTACATAGTGCCTCTGTTGAGCAGTGATGCACAGAGGCTGTTTGGGCACACAGAATGAGGACAGAACGCTTGGCAGCGTCAAGCAAGAAAAAGACGAAGACGAGTAATAGGAATTCCAGAGGGAACAAAACTGCTGCTGCACGCTGTTATCTTCTCAGCCCGCTGCAGTGAAGCAGAGCGGCTGAGCGCGAACAACGACAGCACGGCTGTGAGAAGGCAGCGGCTCCCCGGCCGCCACGCGGTGCCCCAGGGGCACGCGGAGGGGCTGAGCCCGCTGTCCCGCTGACACAGCTCGGCTGAGACACGCGGAGCGCCGGGCGGGCGCTGCCCCAGCCCTCGGTGGTGCTGTAACCCCATCTCCCGGCCGAGGGCTGAGCTGCACGGCCCCGTGCTTACTGCACTCTGCTGCCGCTCTGCCTGACTGCAGGGCCGGGGGAGGGCTGCTGTCCTCCGGCCTCCCGGGCGCCTGCCCCGGGGCGACCTGCAGCTGGCTGCTCCCCGTGCAGCAGTCCCTCGCGGAAGCAAATAATGGCAGTGTATTCAGTTAATTTGGGCATCCCATCCTGGTCATCCCTTATTGCTTATTCACCCTCACCTCACAATGCCTCATCTCTTCCTTCTGGATTCGGTTTTTATTTGTACACCTGAGGACTTCCTCCTCTTTGATTTGGTGTGCTCTGCAGAGCTTCACATCGTCTATCTGCTGGCACTTCAGTGCTTTACATTTCAGCCTGGGGTTCCTTGACTGGTGCACTGTGCTTTCCATTCCCCCTTTTGAACCCTTGTGAACTTTCAGCATCCAAAGCGCCCTGCAGGGAGGACACCCTCAGCTTGCTGTGCGTTGTGCTGTGGTGGGGAAGCACCTCTTTTTGTCTGCACTGAGTTTGTAACCCATTAGCTTCATTCAGTGCTTCGCTTTTATACCAAAATAGATCAGGAATGACCATTTTTGCTTCTCTTTGCCTTAGATGGGCTGAAGGAGTTGGGCTTGTTCAGCCTGGAGAAGAGAAGGCTGCAGGGAGACCTCATCGCAGCCTTCCACACTCAAATAGGCAGGAAGTCAACATTTAACATGGACAGATAGTGATAGTACAAGAAGGAGTCGTTTTAAACTGTAAGATGGGAAATTTAGATTAGATGCTGGGGAAATTTTTCACTGAGGACGGTCAGGCTGTGGCACTGCTGCCCACAGAAGTGTGAGTGCCTCGTCCCCGGAGGTGTTCAAGGCCAAGGTTGGATGGGGTCCTGAGCAGCCTGATCTGGTGCCTCATTTAGTGACTGGCAGCCCTACACACACTGGGTTGGAACTGAATGATCTCTGAGGTCCTTTCCAACCCACCCAGTCTATGAGTCTGTGATTCTATGAGCCTGTGATTCTCTGGCTCTTTCCTCCATGGCATTCATGGAGAAAAGACATTCGTCAGTTTGTGTGAGAGACTTCTGCTTTGCCCTGCCCTGTCCACCAAGCGAGTGCCTGCTGTCCTCAGCATGCAGTTGTCTCCAGGAGATGGCTTTGGGTAGCATGGCAGCATGCTGTGCCTAGCCATGCACTGCCAACAGCTGTCATACTCCTGGCGTTCCTATTGCATACAAAGACACCGGATCTTGGTCCGCATTGTCCCATGTCTCACCATAGGCTGAAGAACATGAGTTTGTTGGCACAGGGCTGGGTGGAAGCTGTAGTGGTGGGTATAGCCATGGCTGGCAAGGCCACATCATCCTGTCATGGAAATGATGGCGAGGAAGAGCTGTGCCTCAGCACAAATCCAGAGCTCCTTCATCACGTCAGGGTGCTTCAGGTCCTATTGGGATTTGAAGAGGGCAGGACCTGTTGCATTAGCACAGGAAACTGCAGTACTCCAGTTGGACTGAGGAAAGGAAGAACCACGAGAGGAATGGGTGGTGGGACAGTCATAAGGCCAGGGGGTTTCCCCTTGTGGGGGAAAGGCAGGTTCCTGTGGTAGGGCAGGGAGAGCTGCCTCATGTCTTGCTCTAGGGAGATGGACCTTGGGCCAGAGGGTGGGAGAAACTGAGGCAGAAGGTGGAAGTCATGGTGTCCAGAGAGGGAAAGAAAACTTAAACAAGCTCTGTTGTTTGCCCACTGATAAAGTGGGGCCAGAAGCCTTGATGGGTAGCTGTCGTGGTGCTCCTGCTAGACTGTGCAAGTCTATGAGACATGAAACCTCCTAGCCAGCACGAGGAGGGCCTCTTGCTTAGCTCTGCTTCCAGCTCTCCTGGCAAAAGTGGTAGATGTGGGTGGACAGGGATGGCAGCATTTTCTTCCACTTGTTTACTCCCATCGTTCACAGGATGGTGCTCACGATCTGAGGGACATAAGCCTGCCCCTCCAGAGCATGGGTGCTCAGTCCTATCAGCCCATTTGTGGTTCTGAGGAGTTCAAGTGAGCTCAGGTGTTTGTGCAGGCATCCCATAGCTGTCCTCAACAGCCTCATGGCCTATGAGCAGCTGATAGACTTCTCAGTAGATGGCTCCAAATAGTGCCTGTGCCATGCCATGGGTGACAAAACGCTGCGGGTCAGCCCTGCACTGGGGCATCTGGAGTTGTAAGGACTGCAAAGTGTGGACACAGCACACCTGTGCAGAAGGGCAATAGCTGTCAGTAACACAGATGGGAAGAGCAGCATCCCTGGGAGCCAGGCAGTGCTCCTGAGATCGATGCCTTTGAGGAAGTAGATATGGACTACATGAAATTGTCCGTCTGGGCTCTCAGATTTCTTCAAAGAACTCATGTAGCTTTGTGAGAGATGACTTTCCTTTACAAAAGCCACCTTTCCTATTATATTGTATTTACCTACGTGGCCATTAATTCCATTCTTGAGAAGGAGTCTCTGCTAATTTGTGCTGTGTGATTATGAGACTTAATGGTCTGGAACATGAAAAAAAATTGTATCACATTAGCAACCTTCTGATAATTAAAGCACTTTCAAGTGAGAGATTATACATCCTACATAGTTGTTGAGCTGCTTTGTCCTTTGGTGCTCTCAAGTTAATGTTAAGTGGTCCTGCAAATGTTTTGCTGATATGTTTCCTAACTTCTTCTACACAGGTTTCAATGTGAGACTCATTCTCTCATTGTGTATAAAGGTGGATTCAGGGCAGGGACCGTCCCAAGCTCCTGCATGGTAAACACCAATGCAGAATTCTCTTAACTTGCCATTGCACCACACATTAACCCCAGAATATTACTGAGTATTACTTCTTATACCTTTTGTAACATGTGACTTACATCATTACGAGCCATAATGACTTTGTACTGCTCAGGAAGAAGCCAAGAGCTGCTTTTCCTACTCTGAGTTCCCAGATAGCTGTACTGTAACATAAATATCGATGAGGTCCCAAAGCACAGTGTCAGCACCTTGTCCTGAGATGACATTTACTTGGGAACAAATGCAACCTCCCACTGCAATTGCTTTCCCATGGCTTCTGTGATTTCACCCTACTCTTGTGATATGCTATCTTGTTTTAGCAACTGATAGCGCAGCCTTAAGGTGGCACTTCTGCCCACAATGGTCCTGTTTCATTTAACACAATTAGTCTGTTTACTACAGTGAGAATAAAGGGAGAAGCTGAGGATTGGGATATCCAGGAGCCTGTGGAGCTTACCATATAGATGAAGCTTCCCTGTTTAATCAGGGAAAATGAAAACTGGGAGGAGAAATGTGGTTACTATCTGTAGATATGCAGTGGGGAGCAGAGAGCTCTTTAAGTTACAGTTGGCACAAACAACAGGTAGGGTTAAACAGGTAAGGCAGATATGCAGACTGGTAATAAGAGAATGTGCTTCATCAGCTGGAACAAAACTGATTATTTTTTTTTAAGAGTATAACAAGCTCTCCCAAAGGATCTCAGTTCTAGCGCCACATCTTTCTCAACTGGATGGTGACGAAAAGATAAAATGAGTTGGGGAATCTTATGGCAACATAAAGACATTGGTTTTCCTGTCCTGTGCTATCTCTTTGGGGCTCTGGAGACCTTCTCTGTTCCTCAGGACAGTGCTTGAGATCTCCATTCCTGCCTCACTGAGCAGCCCCCTCGAGCCCACCGTGTTGCAGATCTTAGGGACATGAGGACAGAGGACATGTCGAGGCAAGGGAAGAGAAGGGGAGTCCAGGCATGCCTTGATATCCCTCCAAAAAACTCTCCTTGCACTCTGTGAAAGGGGATGAAGCACTGTCTTGTACAGGACAAATGCTGAGCTAGGAGGTCTGCAATGCAAACTGGGCAGAAAGAGCCTTTCCATTCAGAATTCAAGAAGAGTTTGAGCAACACTCTCAGAAACACAGTTTGAATTTTGGGTGCTCCTCTGTGAAGCCAGGAGGTGGACCTGATGATCCTTGTGGGTTTCTTCCAACTCAGAATATCCTATGACTCTATGAATGCCGCGTGGATTTGTGTTTCAACGACCCATAGCCTCTCCATTGTCAGACAGCTGCAGGTCTCCTTGCTGCTGCCCAGTGGGTGCAACCCACACCTCCCACACAGGCTGACCAGCCTGCCCATGAATGTTTCACTGGTGTTCTCCACCACCTGAATGGGACTGCGAGTGGGAAAAGATGCTTGTCTGTGGGCAGAGTGCTAGCAGAAAGAAGAAGAAACAGCCAGAAACACACTGATGTGCTTTTTAGCACAGGGCCCATTTGCTGCTCTGTGCCCTTAACGAAGCTAAGAAAACCTACTGTTAGTGTATTAATGGTTGCTACACTCGCTGTACAGGATACCTCTTGTCTGTTGCTTATATTTTCATACACCTCATCATATCATCAAGCTGAAATTAAATGACCTTAAGTAATTATATAACGTGTATAGCCATTGCTACATGTAACCTCAGTTTGCATACTTCAGAAGAAGTGTTAATTCAGAAACATGAATGGGGTAGCGATACATCACTTAGATGTCAAAATCAATGCCAGGTGTCTGTATGAACAGAAGTTACATGTGATTTTTTTTCCTTTTTTGCAGTTTCACGTGGCTTTGCAGCCAAGTCCACACCAGCCTGGCAACCCATTTCCGTGGTCAAATAGTCGCAGAGTTTGACAAGGAATTTCGGTACCTGTATGCAGAGTCCAAAGCAGTGACCAGCTTCTGTGTGCCAGATTCCTCACTTCAGATCCCCTCGGAAGGTGACGATTTCCTTTTGAAACCCATCCGCATGAATGACGCAGAAACCGTGAGCGCCTCCAGCAGCCTCTCCAATGTAAGCATCAAAAGCGTAAAAATGTCTCCCTTCATGAAAAACTCCAGCTACAACGTTCACCAGGACAGGCAAGATTTGAGCCCTGATTCTGGTGATAAGAAGGGGAAGGATGATGCGTCTCTGAAGCCCACTTGCCCTACGCAGCAAGGGGAACCACCAGATTCGGCTAACAGTCCTCCGAATAAATCCACGCTGTATCACAAACCAAATCTCATGACAGGGAGGACATTCTTGCAGCCAGAGCTATCCCCTGTCTTTGGCTCCTATAAACCTTATTACCAAGGCAATGACAGGGCCAACAGCGGCCACTGCTCCACGCTGACACAGGAGCCGACGCAGCAGTGCCCTTCTGAAGGCACCAGCAGCACCGGGCCGAGCACGAAGCAGAAAGGGCCTGCTGCTCCCTCTGGGGAACCAGCAGCAGAAAATGACAGCAGTTTTTATGGGATGGAGAAAAGACAGGGTTTTGGACAAGGGAAATTGGACTTGCTGTCTCCGTACAACCAGCCAAAACGTGAGAAAAAGCCTGTAGTTCCTTCCTACGATAAACTCACTGAGGACATGCTGTCGGAAAAGAGCAGCGCGTACGGGGCTGAGAAAAGAATGACTCTTGGGCACAGTAAACTGGATCTGATCACCAAATACAACAAGTTGAAATCCAAACACATACACAGTCGGTTCGAACTCTGACCTGGTTCTCCCGCGCCCTGCTGTGTCCTTTGGTCTGAGTTTCAAGCAGTTACCACCAATCATTGTATCTGGGGCTTGAAATCAAAATATGGGTGGGAAATTGGTCTTGATGCTATTAAAGGGTGTCTGTGTTACGCTGCAATTTCTGATATATTCAGATGACTGATTCAGATAAGATTAGCAAGATTAATTCAAATTTTCAACTACAAGATGATAGCAAGAGGGGCAATGTGACATAAAAACGATGCACACTTCTACACACTTCTTACCCATTTCCCCCTAAGCCTAAAGTAAAACCCCCACAAGAGCTGCAAACTGGAACTGAGGTTTCCAGGACGAACCCCTGTTCTCTTTGCACCAAGCAATCCCACTGTCCACTTTCTGAAAACGAAATGAGCAAACGGGGTGATGTTAGAAATAAAAGTGCTGTTTCTGCTGGAAAGAGCCGTGTTGGGTCCCTGCTGCATGGGGAGCAGCCCAAGCTCAGCCATGCCGTGCATGGCCATGCCGTGCTGCGCCGTGCTGTGTTGTGCCGTGTTGTGTAGTTTTGTGCTGTGCCGTGCCGTGTTGTGTTGTGCTGTGTTGTGCCGTGCCGTGTTGTGTTGTGCCGTGCCGTGTTGTGTTGTGTTGTGCAGTGCTGTGTTGTGCCGTGCCGTGTTGTGTTGTGCGGTGCCGTGCCGGCGCAGAGCCGAGCGCCCGCATCCCTCGTGGAGGCGCGGAGGCAGCACCTCCCGGCCGGCAGAGGGCGCTGTTCCCTCTGGCGCTTCCGGGCCGCTCTGCCCCGCGGCTTCCGCCCTCCGCCGTCAGAAGCGGAAGCGGCCGTGCCGCGTGGGGTTGGCTGCGGCCGCCGCTCCCGGACGTCCATCGGTCCGTGCGCCGATCGAGATCGCGGCCATGGCCGTCCGCGCCAGCTTCGAGAACAACAACGAGCTGGGCTGCTTCGCCAAGCTCACCAATGCCTACTGCCTGGTGGCTATCGGCGGCTCCGAGAACTTCTACAGGTGAGGGAGCCGCGAGGGCCCTGCCCGGCCACCCCGAGCCCCGCGCCCGCTCCTAACGGCGCCTTCTTCTTGCAGCGTCTTCGAGGGAGAGCTCTTCGAGACCATCCCGGTGGTGCACGCCTCCATCGCCGGCTGCCGCATCATCGGCAGGATGTGTGTGGGTAGGTGGCCGGAGCTCGCAGCCCGGTGGGAGCGGAGGGACAGCGGGGCCGTGCTCTGCCCGTGCCCGCACCGAGGGGCCCCGGCTGCAATGCGGAGGCCGGGCGGAGGGCAGCGCTCCTCGTCCTTGAGGCTTTTATTTGCATCGTGCAGAGAAGTTGTAAAGCTGGAGTAAATCTTAGAATCGTTAGAGTTGGAAGGGACTTCTGAAGGCCATCTAGTCCAACTCCCCTGCAGTGAACAGGGACAGCACTGTCAGATTGCCTTGGGCCTTATCCAGCCTTAGCTTGGAACTCTCCAGGGATGGAGCATAAACCTCATCCCTCGGTAACCTGTTCCAGTGCCTCAATGCCCTCACTGTCAAAGTCTTTTTTATGTCTCTCCTGTTCTGAGGACTGCACTCCTGGACACAGTACTCCAGGTGAGTACTGTGCAGAGCAGAGGGGCAGATCCCCTCCCTTGCTTTCGTGGCCACGCATCTTTTGACGCAGCCCAAAGATACAATTGGCTTTCTGGACTAAGGGCACACTGCTGTGCTGTACTGGTTCCCACCCACAGTACCCCCAGGTCTTTCCTGGCAGGGCTGCACTCAGTCCTTTCATCCCCCAGCTTGTATTGGTAATGGGGGTTGCCTCGGTCCAGGTGCAGACCTTCACTTGAATTTGTTGGATCTCATGAGGTTCACCTGGGCCCAATGCTCAGCCTGTGTAGGTCCTTCTGAATGGTGTCCAGTCTTGAGCATGTTGACCCCACCCTACAGCTTGGTGTTATCAGTCAACTTGCTGAGGGTGCCCTTGATTCCCCTGTCAGTGTCACTGATATTAAAGAGCATCTGCCCCAGCACTGACCCCTGGGGGCACCACTCATCACTGATCTCCATCCAGACCATTGACCACTGCTCTTTGGTCTTGATCCTGCAATCAGTTCTTTGTTGAAGAGTCCACCCATCAAATCCGTATCTTTCCAATTTGGAGAGGAGGATGTTGTGGGCTGCTGTGTCAGTGAAGTCGAGGTAGATGCCATCAGTGCCTCTTCCCTTGTCCATAGATGCAGTGAAATAAAAAAAAGCTTGGCCAATACAAACAAATGAAACCCAACAATAAAGCAGCCACCCAAAATAGGGTTGCAGGGAGTGTCTGGTGGTCAGGACCTGAAGAGAGGTCATTGATGTGCATAAATTGGTTTTGTATAAACAGGGAGAAGCTGTTCCATTTCATGTGGAGGTTAGTGATTCAGAACCATTGCTGGAGGGAGCATTCCAGATGTGGAGGTCAAAGAGAGGGCTTTCCCTGACTGGCTGCTGACACGCTGTTTAGTGGAGCACGCTTTGTGCTTGCTTTTTGTTCCTGGAAGGTCTCTGCTCACGCAGCCTTACAGCCTTGCTAAAGGAAAGCAACAAAAACGAGCTCTATGGGGGCAGTCAGCACCTTTGGGGGAAATCATTCCATAGCGTTGTGTTTGGAACCTTGTGTGTCCTATTGAAAAGGCTGGATAAAAGTAGTGCAGTTTACCTGTTCATATTCTTAAATCTTTGTTTTATCTTCGTTTTCCACCTCACTTGTGCTTTTGTATTAATAAATGGTCGCATTATTTCTGTGGGACTGAATTTTGGGCTTGAAAAGAGTAGAGAGAGCAAGAGCCCCAAGCCATTGTGTCAGCATCAGGAAAGTAGTAAGCACAGTGGAAATGCCTGCTTTTTTTAAAGTTCAAGTGGAACTCTTTGTCTTCTTCTCTTGTTTTTGGGTCACCTTAGGGAACAGGCACGGGCTCTTGGTGCCAAGCAGCACAACAGACCAGGAGCTGCAGCACATCCGCAACAGCCTCCCCGATTCCGTGCGAATTCAGCGAGTGGAGGAGCGGCTCTCGGCGCTGGGCAACGTCACCACCTGCAATGACTACGTAGCTCTTGTTCATCCGGACCTGGACAGGGTATACGGCTTCTGAATTCAGTGTGGATACACCTGAAATTGCTGCTAAGTTGCAGTTTCAGCTTGTAGCTATTTGGGGATTACTGTAAGTAGTGTGAATGCCAGAGGAGCAGCGCCACCAGCTGAGCTAACAGCACGTAGGAAGCTGTGTTCCCTGTTTCCTTTCCTCTCAGGAGAAGAATCTCAGTATTGGATTTTGAACTTATGACTCGGTTTCAGTCCATCTGTTTCTTTTCCTATTGTTATCTTTACTTGCAGGTGTGGAGCCTGTCCTAAGTATGTAGTGTGCATACTGCATTGAGCATACTGTAGTTAGCTGTGCTTGTAGAAAGAAAGGAGTGGGTTATGGGAGAGTACTGTGAGGTGCAATTAGCTTTGCACGTGTAAAATTGAAGCAACAGTGTGTGTGTATGCAAAGAACATAGAAAGCTTAGAAAGTAGTAATAGTAATAAGATGTCACTGACCTGCTTGAAAGTTCTGTAATATCCATGGTCTCTGCCAGCACTGTAGTGGTGTGTGTGTCCATAGGGAAAAATAGAAGCTCTTGTATAGGCAGGGCAGAAGGAGGAGGGGAAAGCAGTGCTCAGTGGGGTGTGTTTGTTAGAGTTGTGCTGGCTTGCAGCTCACAGTGCAGGTAACTGGGTCCAGGTTAATCCAGAAGAGGAAGAGCATTCTGTAATGTCTGAATTGCAGTGGGTTGTGAAAGTGAGGGCAGGCTTTCAGTGGGGGGATCCCAGCTGGTCACTCTTTGAAAGAATACTGTGACTGCAATTTGTACAGTGCCATTTTGCTGAGGACTTTGTTCTCTTTGCAGGAAACTGAAGAGATCTTGGCAGATGTACTGAAGGTTGAAGTTTTCAGACAAACAGTAGCAGATCAGGTGCTGGTAGGAAGTTACTGTATATTTAGTAACCAAGGAGGAATTGTGCACCCCAAAACTTCCATTGAGGATCAGGACGAACTGTCTTCATTGCTGCAGGTCCCACTTGTGGTAAGGCTTGTGAGGTTTTGTGTTTTTCCTCACGGCTCCCTTCCATCCCAGTTTGTGGTTTTAGTGTTTCTGCATTCTCATGGGCTCCTAGACTGGTTTCCCTGTGAGGCTGCTCCAAATGGGAGGTGAGGAGAAGACCCGAAGGAGATCAGTTCTGAGGCACGTTCCCCTTCTTTTCCGTGTTTGAATAAGATGCACAGAACCTTCAGGTTGCTTCTGAAACGTTCTGCCAGGGTTTTGGGATTTGAGATGACTCGTTCACAGTGTGAAATGGCCGGTGGTTTGGCCGAAGGCAGTGTTGAAAAAGAGTTGAGCAATAAAATCCCGTGTCTGCACTGTGGGATTTTTAAATCCAGGGATTGCTCTGCCTGTTTGTTTCCTGTTTGTGATGGGGTGTTAGGATTGTTTTGGTTTTTGTTCTCTGGATTTCATGGACTTTTCTTTCCAGAGGATAAAGGCTGAGTAAGGAAGCATAATAAAATGTATTGATATCAGAATGCCATGCTGACTTTTGCCACTTTGTTTATTTTCCAGGCTGGAACGGTAAACCGTGGCAGTGAGGTCATTGGAGCAGGAATGGTTGTAAATGACTGGTGTGCCTTCTGTGGGCTGGACACAACCAGCACTGAGCTCTCGGTCATTGAGAGCATCTTCAAGCTGAATGAAGCTCAGCCAAGTACTATTGCTACCAACATGAGAGATTCCTTGATAGACAGGTAAGGAGGATCCAGCTCTGTGCATAATTGTAATCAAAACAGAGAGGATTTCAGTACAAGGAAGCTATAAAAACTAGCTGCCTCTCAAAGTTGATTGCTCTCTTCTTGTTTCAAGCATGATAGGGAAAAGAGTGGGGGAAGGGGGGCCCCTTTCACCCTTCTGTCCCTCTTTTGGAAAAGAAAAGCAACCCCACTCAGATAAGGAGAGATAAAAGATTTACTACAGATGGTAGAAGACTGTAAGATAATAAGAAAGAGTTACAATTAACAAAGAAAGCAAAATGGGAGAGAAGGGAAGGTTCTGACTGTGCTGCTCGCTGTGCTGCTGGAAGCTGAAAGAAACCTTCACCCAAATATCCAGAACTGGAGATCACGTGGGAATGGTTGGGGCTGGTGGTTGGGATGGAGACGCATCTCAGTGTGTCCTCCTCTTGGAGTTAGAACTCCAGTGAGGCTGCTGAGAGCACAGGACCAGCAGTGCAGTGTCGCTGTGTGCAGTGCCTACAGCCACCAGCCTGCTGCAGGATGTCCTGCTGTGGAATGCTGATAAAACCCTGACAGATTCCCCTTTGTTTTTATTGGGTTATGGATGAGAATTATTTTGTTGCGGAAAGATTTCTTTTATTGTAGCTGATAAGCCACTGAAGTCGCACGTGGGAGGTGTGACAGTTCCTGTTCAAAGTCAGGACTGGTGGTGCTATTGGACTTTTCCCATTCATTGATGAATGCAAAAAGTTCTACAGGCTTTAGGAGCCTGTATGGGTGAAAATTGGTTTATTTGGGCTTTCAACTGATTGTATTTCACTTGGTGATTGCTGTAATCCTAGAGGTGTATTCTGGAGCTACTCAAGGCACTGCAACTTCTAGTTCTCAGCTCTTATAGAAATGTATGGGAGTGCTTTATGTACAGGGAAAGAATAAGGAATTCCTTGAATGAAGAACCCTTCCAGAGTTCTTAGCTGCCCCTTCACTGTTCCTATTTAATGGCTCGATGCACAGTTAAACATGTGCTTTTAGCAACTACTGGGACAAGACTGTATGTGTTGCCTTTGCCAGCCTGACAAGCATGTTCTTAGAGCTGGCTGCCAGCAGTCACCAGGCCTCCTTCAGTCTTCTCCCAGGTTTATGTTTTAGGAGGGGAAATTACTGATGGTCCTTTATAACTGGAGGCTGAGAACTGGTTATAATGGGGTTTTGAAATGTGTTCTGCACTCTGGCACTTTTCTGCTAAATCTCATTTCTGTTTTGTCTCTTCAGCTTGGCGTGAGCAGTGTTGGTTCGTGCCATTCCAGAAGCTCCTAAGGAGTGAAGAGTCAAGCTGCAGTTTGGATTACAGGCCTCTAGACCTTTGTTTCTGCAGGACTGGCACCAGGAAGAGGCTCCCAAAACACCACCTTTTTTGTAATGTTTTGTAAACTAAATATTATTGCAAAAAAATGGCAAATAACTGACTTGAGTTCCAAATATGGAATGTTCTCCATCCCTTTGCTGATGCTCTTCATTTCTTCTTCAGCTGTGCTTTCTCTGTGATGCGGACCGCAGCCTTTAAATTAGCCCACAATATTCACCTGTTTGGATTTTGGTTACTGATAACTAGAAAATATTGCCTTAAGTAGAGGATTAATATTCTGCTCTGCAGCAGGAGTTTCAGCACATATATGGCACTGCCCACTCTTTCTTTTTGTGCTCTTGGTGTTTCTGCTGTAGGTAGGCATAAGAGCCCCTGTGTTTCCTGTACCAAAAGCACAGTAGTTAATTTGCTACAAGGAGTTTCAGAAGGCACCACCTGCTGTCCTGCCCTGACTTGCTGCTATTTTCACGGGGTTGCTGATTCTGAAACGATCAGCTCTGATTGAAAATGGAGTTTCTCAAAGAAGTCAAACCAGGCACTTAGCAGCCAGTTGCGACTGCCTGCAGGAGTTCGATCTGTTGTTTGCAGGTGTCAGACCTGTGTGGTCCTTCCGAAACATCTGCAGAAGATCCCTGAGAAACATGCAATTGCTGGTAGGCTCTGCTGTGCTCTGTGCAGTTGGCACTTCCCTGAGAAACTCGCAGAAGTCAGCAAAGCAGAAAGAGTTGAACCATGTGATCCTGAGTTGCCCTGGAGGCGAAGGTTAATTAGCAGTTCTAAAGGGTTGTTGCATTCAGCTGTACTTTCCACGTTTGAGGGTGTGCTGTTGAAGAGTTCTGCCCTTGCCTGGCAGTAATGGCGATGCAGAGGAGCTGTAGAGTTCACAGTTTCCATTTATATGTATATATATATATATAAATTAAGGGAGCACTTACAGCTCCCTTAATGCAATGGACAACCTTTCTTGGCTGATTCCATGTCTCCTCCTTGTGTCAGTGTTTAGCATCAGAAGCTGATTTCCTTCTGTTATTAGGAATAGGTAAAGAGCCTGACTGCTGCTGCGCCTGTTGGCATGGAGTCACCAACTGTAAATAAGTAATGCTGAGCTTTTATTTTAGCAGCTTTGTGGGGTTTTTTTCTTCCTGATTCCAATCATTAGGCAGAAATCCTAGATTGTATCAGTGATCTCGATAAGCGTTAGAATTGCCTAAGCAAGAAAAATAATCCAGTTTCTATGAAATGCAAATCTGTTAGTGAGAAAGATTCTGGGATGGTGGTGAGGGTGGTAAAATGCCAATTAGAGACAGACAGGGGGAGGGCATTGCTAACTATGGGGTGTGGGTTCTGATGAAACTTGCACTGAAATTTGGGAACTGGGAGGTGGCAAATACAGTATCAGTTCTAAACAAAAGGTTTGTGGGAATTCTGAACTGGGAAGGTGGGCCTGAGTGGGAAGAGAATGAACAGGAACTGTAATACAGAATGAAATCAGTAGAAACATCACGAGGCAGCAATAAACTGGATGCTTTAATCGCAAGTCATGTCTCATAAGGCCTATGGAGTAATTTAAGGTTTGGTTGTAATCTCTCTGAATTTCTGAAGAGGCTTTTGGCAGGGCTTTGTGCCGAAGGCTTTTAAGGACCCTGGATATCCTGTGGGATAATCACAAACATAACAATGTTTGTGCCAGATGGGGGAAAATGTCAGAGTAAATGATTGGATCTTTCACTGGGATGTCAGAGGGAGCTCAGCTGTGCCCTGTTGGGGCAGGGCAGTGGGTCAGTGCAGTGCAGTTTGCTCAGACTGCCTCACTCTCACTTGTAAGGCTGAGAACTGACTGATGTGTCAATGGCAGGGTGAGACAGGAGATCCCTCTGAGGTTTAATGCCTGATTACAAAGGACCACTTCTGTTCTGACTAGTGGTTGGTGCATCCCAGCATACTTAAACTTACCTGGAAAAATGGACCTGCTGTACTGGTGATCAGATTATTCACGCTGGTCAAGAATGAATGAATCAGTACAGAACGCTGAGTGCAAAATAGAGCACGTAATGGGCTGCTCTTTGCAGGAGCTGCAACTGCTGTGCTTAGGGTGCGTGTGCCAGGACACCCCTCTTGCTGCCCAGATGGCCCGTGCTGCAGAGCAGGGTGTGCTGTGCCAAGAACACGCTTGGAAGAGCCCCGTGCTTGTGGGGTAGAGTTGGGTAAGCGCTGATGTTCCTCCTCCCCTGTGGTGGCAATATGTCCTGGTGCTGTGCTGCTGGGCAAGAGCTGCAGTGTGGCCACCTGTCTGTGGAGATGCTTTACCTGTGCTGGTGGGAGACGGGCTGGGTTGAACTCAGATGCTGTGCTTGTGTAGCATCAGACAGGATCCCAGTGAAGAGCTTGGATGTGGGAGCCTAAGGAGCTGTGTCCTACATGGATATCTGCGCCTGGATCCAGGCCCTCAGAAATCACAGAGCAGTACGCAGCCTGCACCTCCAAAGTGAGCGCGCACTAGGAGTCAAATTATGGGGTTACAAAAGGTACCAAGTTCCTTAAAGCTGCAGGTCTTGAGTTCTGGCACTGTGGGGCACAAGGCTTACCTCACTGCTGCAAGGCAGAGAGCTGAGCTTCCTACAGACCCTCACATTGTGCTCACTGCACAGCTTGGCACTCAGCGTGAAGTCCTGAAGGAAAGCAAAGCCAACCTTTGGCTACGAGGAGCAAAAAAACCCAAATGAACAAAAGCAGACATTTCTCCCGGTTGTAAATTATTATTTTTTTAATGATGGCTGTTGGAAGTTGCTCAAGGTTCGGGCTGTCACAGTCCCAGAGATGGCAGCGTACAGATGAGTTCGATGTGCCATGTGGCTGTGGCATTCATAGTGTGCATTCTACCACATAAATAGTACACATAGCAACTTACGGAGTAGCGTGTATGGGGGGTGTCTAATTAGTAGCTCTGATTTCATTTGGTCCTTTGCACTCCTTCACCCATCATAAGACATTACCACATTTTTTCACTAAGATTCAGTTTTGCATCTACTAGCTTCTCACTTATTTCATAATATCTTTGTAATACATTTTATGCTTAAACAATAAGAAAATGTGGCTATGGAAATTAATCATGAAAGACAAAATACAGGTGGAGACCACGTGTTGTGCAGTCCTAGTGGGCTTCACTATGAAATACCTATTGGTCTATCTGGCTTCGCCATAGCAATGTTTGAGCACTAGTTAGAAATTCAGAATGCAAACAATCTTTCTGCTTTTTCATTCCTCATCGTTGTAATTACAAATACTTACAGCACGTTTGTCAAGAAAATAAAAATCCTTGGATATTTTTTTTTTCATAGATGATATTACGGGGTTGTACTTTTCTAAACTAGCTGGACATTCTGTGCATTGCACTTCCATTGCACTGAATAGCATTCAGTTATATAGGCAGAGGGCTTGCACTAATCACCTGTTCCCTACAGTGGGCGTGCAAAGCAGTTCATATGCTTATGTGAATGGCACTTTCATAGGGGGCTGGATTTAACCATCAGATTGCACTGCAAGAGACTTCTCTTATTTGATGTGGTGGGACTGTCAGAATCAACAACAAAATGAGCTGTGCACACGTTAGGGTCAGGACCCAACATCCCAAACCATTCACAGTGGTCACAGGGATAAGCAGAAGCTACCGCTGTGAGAAGAGGGCTGTGAAAAGTTACTGACTGGAGGCCCAGGAATTTGTGTAGCCTCTGCCTGAGGTTTATGGCTCTGTCAACTGCAGCTAGCGATGAACTCATTCTACTGTGTGACATGCTTCCTTTGGTCCTTGCCAAATATTTGCACGTGAAGAAGTGAGCAAAAACAAAATTTCAAAGGCATACAATGTTTGTAACATCTACAGGGATTGGATTTTGTCTTATAAACAGGCCTAATTCTTACTGTACCTCGACTATTGCAGCAAAACATACTGACGATCTCACTCCAAACACATTTCCATTCTCCTGAAACCCAACGTACAAATTCCACAATCTAGTTACACATGCCACATAACAACAATTCACCTTTTCCCAGCATCTTAACGGGGGCAGAGTGCAGTCTACATTTATACATTTTCCATTACATTGGTAACCACGGCTTCCTGGCTCGTGGGAGCTTAAGATCCCATGACATCATTCTTTCACCAATAGCTCCCAAAACAAAAACGTGTATTCCCATAATTGGTGCTGTTATATGCAATTAGCTTGTCTTCAGACTGTCCCAAGTAGGACTCAATGTTGCCAAGTAACATTATGGTGTCTGGTTTGGTGCTTGGTGAGCTTCTGCTCAGCACTCGTTGACCTCCTGGAGGGCTGAATGGTTCCTCGTGCACGGTGCTGAGTGGCAGCGTTGATTAGTTATGAATGTACAAAACATCTGACCAGCAGGTATTGGAAAATTGTTTCCAGGTTTATTCCCTGGTTTTTGTAATAAACTAAGAAGATCTCTTAGAATGGCTCAGCATCAGAATGTCTTCTGCTTACGACACTGAATTGTTCCTGTTCATAGGTTTCATGATCTTAATTCATTTATGAGAGCTATTAAAAAAATGGTTCTGTTCAGAGGTGGTTTAGCTACACTGGAGAATGCTGGGTTTAACAGGGAGCACTGGTGCAGGGAACTGACAGAAGTTTCCCAGAACAGCTGAGAAGGTTGAAGAAAACCTGTCTTGAAGTCTCTGATGTTTGCAGAGTGGGCCTGTGGAGAATGGCACACCAAGACTTACACGACTGAGGCATTTCGAAGGAACGAGGCTCCACACCGCCTGTATTGTTTTCCAGTTTTCCTGCTGCTTTCAGTCCCAGGATGTCCAAAACTTTGTAAGTCACTGAAGTAGTTTTGTTTGGTAGGCTCTGAATGCATTTTTTTGTTTGTTTTTTTTTTTGTCCATATCCTCATCGGTCGATGTGCAGCTGGCTGTGTCATACCCACTCCTGGACAGGTCTTTTGTAGTACACAACATTCTGCTGCACCTCTTTGTTTTTAAACTGGAAGATCGTGTACACCAAGACAAGGATACACAGAGACAAAATGCAAGGGATCACAACTGCAATTGCATTTACAGTGCTAGGCACATCATTTATTGTCACCATAATATCCACATCGTCGTGGGGGAGGCGTCTGTCTTTGCTTCGCTCGACATCCTTCTGGTTGCAGCCCATCCAGTCTTTGAGGATTGACCTGGGGTAGCCTGGCTCCACGTTCAGCCTCTGGTTATCAAACTTCCAATACTCCTTCCCCTTGTAGAAGTAGGTATAAACTAGGAAACAAAACAGAACAGTTCTCACCAAACCATTTCCAACTGATCAAACTCTGCATGCATGAGGGTGTGCAGAGAGCATGAAAGGCTGCAAGGTGGCAGCTCTCATGCCAACAGCACACACATCCCAAAACAAGGAAAATGTGCAGGCATAGTTGGAGCTTGATTAAAAGCTGAAACCCCAACCTTGGCTTGCAGGTGCCATGCTGTTCACAGAGCACCACTCCCCTGGGCCAAGACAAGCTGCTCACTTTCCCCATCTTAAAGTGTTCTGCATGATTTGTTTTCCTTTTTGTTTGTTTCTTTGTCTGTTTGTTTGCTTGAAGTTGTTTTAGTTTAAAACAAACAAACAATAACAACAACAACAAACATCTGTAAATATGCACTGCTTATTACCAAGCTACTAGCAGTCTTCAGAATGAGGGTGCCTGGCTGTGATAGTGCTTGGATGGATTCTTGGGTTTCTGTTCTCATTCTGAAAGACCAAATGCCAAATAAAACCAGTCCTCTAAACAGCAGAATCTGGAAGAGTTGGGTGTTGTTGAGAAACAGTCTCGTCCTGCTGCTAGTAACAAGCAGATGGTTTACACTACTTGTTGTCTCAAGTACCCCTCATCTCCCCAAGGAACTCCAGGATTCCTCCCCTAATCACTCTTCCGTGATCAGTGAAAAAGAAAACTTCACACCACAGAGAGAAATGTACTGGAGGAAACCTATGGAAGACCAAACCCATGCTCAGGGCCTGGCTAACTTTAAAGTACATCATGCAGGCTGGAGACAGCAAGTGAGCTAGCTACAGATAACAGACCAGAGAAAAATGTAGCTCATAATCACGGCCCAAAAAAACTTAGGCAGGGACTGCTGAGGAAGTAAAATCAGGAAAAAAAGTCCCTTTCCCATCCCAAAGAACTGCCTGTGGTTTAGCAGCTAAGAGGCTGCCTGGGTTGGGATAAGGGAAGAATCTGACTGTCTGTACTCACAGGCGTCAATGTGACCTCAGGCTGCCTGACACTTGAATCCTACCTCACCAAAAACACCCAAAACACCCCAAATCCAGCAACCCAACTGCCAAGCTAGACAAGCCGTTATCCACGTAATTTGTAAAACGACTGCAGATACATACAGCCCTCTTTGCTGATAAAAGCTCCTTGTGGAGCCTGAGGGATTCCTCTCCACACAGTGATGGGCTTTGGGTATCCTGGGTCCGTCGCCCTCTTGTCCTCGTTGTACCTCCAGTACCTGTCTCCTTTGAAGAAGTAGGTCTTGCCTACAGGCTCCCAGCGCAGAGCCGTGTCGATGCCTTCCCGGGGCAGGCAGTTCCCCAGCTCCACGAGACTGTGTGGGTATCCTGGCTCTGCTGTCACTTCCTTGAAAACCCAGTATTTATCTCCTAGAGTTGAACAGGGATACGGGCAACGAATGAACGTGCAGAATTTGTAGTTAAAGCAATACAAATGTAAAACAGCCACCACGAAGCACAGCATGGTGGAGATTAACTGTGCTGTATTAACGTGAAAGTTTCCCCTTGCAATTTTAGACCTGAAACCTCTCAATTTCATTTGGTGCTCCTTAGCTCTTGGTTTGGAAAGTTAGACAACTCTTTCCCATTCATCTTCTCTAGGCCAGTCTTCATTTAAAAGATTTCTCTCACATCCTGCCTTTGTCAGCCCTCCTTCAGGCTGAGGAGCTGCAGGATATTTAATTGTTCCCTGTAGGAAGGCCAGTCCATTTCCATTGCCTTTCTCAGAGCCTTCTCTAGTTTTAAAATGTTTTATTGAGCTGAAGGTCTGAAGCTGTGTGCAATAATTCAGAACATGTTTTTGTACAGGAGCATGGCAATGCTTTTCTGACTTACAACCTGCTGACAGATCACCTTCAGAAACTATCACAGTGAAAGGAGCTGCCGTGGGCTCCACATAAGGATAGGCATTTTGTTTCTTTAGGGAAAACACCCCTAACACGTCTTCCCAGCACCTCAGAAAAGATGTGAGCACATGAAGCAGCAGAAGCTCACGCTACACTGGCTGCAGCAAACAGCAGTGTGTCTCCCTCAGACCAAAGCAAGGACAGGGACCATAACTGCTCACCTAAACGCCACCACACGCTCTGTAAGTCAACACCCATATTGATGCCTCACCTGCAACATTCTGTTACAGATGGTCAGTGGGCACTGGCTGGAATTCAAGGTATCCATCAAGGATGCTGGTTACATTCTTCCCCAAATCTCCCCAAGCTTCTCTGACCAGGGCACCTAACCTTCATCCCTGTCACAAAATGTGGTTTCTGGTAGTCCTGGATCTGGAAAGGCTCTAACACTGTGCCATAACATATCCAAGGAGACAGCCAGGAGCCTCAGCTCCTGCTCTTCAGGGAGCATCTCTCTTGTCATCAGATGGAAGCCAACATCCACTGAACCACATTAGTTCTGCAGAGTTTCCTGGCAAGGCCAACCCACACTAAGGAATATTTTAAGGACTGGCTATCACACCGGAAGGCAGAAAGCAAAGGAGGACATTTATATATGGCTCAGCTGTTAGTACAACCAAAACCCATTAGCAAAAATGAAGAATGTGTAAGAAAAGGCCAGGTCTGTGCTAACAGCCTCTCTTTTCAGTGTATTCTTATGCCACCTACCTTCTTACCAGACTATAAGATTATGAGGGATGTTGCCACAGCAACCATCTTTGTGTTGCAAGGAGGAGAAAAGGAGCCCTGCACGACTTAGCTGGCATGGCAAATGGTCACCAAGGCACTTCTGCAAGCATACACAGATTTTTTTTAAGGCTGCAAGAGGTCTTATGGCTGAACTTTGCAACCCAAGCTGCAGCTGACTCGTGTAATTCCTTTTATAGCAGGAAAGCATCTGAACACAACAGCACAAGAGCTAGCAGTAAAACCTCAAGAGGCTGTGCAGCACCAGTGCCCTGCGCTGCTACAGCACTCCACACCTGACATACAAGCAGAGAGGCTGCTTCTGCTGTGTAGCAACACATCTTTTCTGTCTTTTGATGAAGCTGGTGACTTGGTTAGTGGCTTGGGAAACATTGGTTGCTTGAAATGCCCTCCTTGGAAGGATCCAGTGAACCTGTCCTCACCACTTCAATGCTGTGGAAGTGTGAGGCAAGGCAGGTGTGGTAGGCTCGTACTGCAATATACTGTACCTTTGAAGAAAACAAATTTTCCATCAGATCTCTCATAGGCTGCATCAATCTTTGCAGGGAGCCCTTTCCAGAACTGCTCAATTTGCATGGGATATCCCTCCTGCACCCGGTTGTTGCGCAGACGCCAGAACCAGCGATCCTGAGAAAACCAGAAAGCTCTTCAGACTGACTGTTTTTAGCCTGCAGTCACATCAGGCTGCACATCCAGCAGCTAACATTACTAATTCTTGCCTAAGCCTGTAATCAACGAAGAAAGAAGTCCTGGTTTGTTGGTTGTGCTGCCCAACACCTTTTCCAGTGCAGGAACATTTAGTGGGGCAGACAGCAGCCAAAGGGGCAAGAAGTTCACAAGTGGAGATCCTCAGGAGTCAGTACTGGGGTCTGCCCTGTTCAATAACTTTAATGAATGATCTGCATGAGATCACTGAGTGCAACCTCAGTAAGATTGCAGATGACACCAAGTTGGCAGGACATGTTGGCCTGCCTGGAGGTAGGAAAGCCCTACAGAGAGCCTTCTCCAAAATAGTGGCCAGGTGCTGGAATGGGCTGCCCAGGGAGATGGCTGAGTCACTGCCCTGGAGGAGTTGAAGAACTGTTTAGAAGTTGTACTGAGGGACATGGGCTAGTGGAGAAACGTTGGTTTTAGGATGATTTTGGGTGTCTTTTCCAGCTTCAGCGATTCTATCAATCTATGATTCCAAGTTGATTACTGGGACTCTGACAAAGGGTGGAAAGAATGAGAGGAATGAGGAGCAGGGAGAGGGAAGTCTACAGCTCTAAGTATTACAAGCTCATTTGTGAGTGACCTCTGTGTGTCTCTTGCTGAGATGTCACACTTGTACAGCTGGTGTTCAACTCCTTGACCTGGGGACAGCCATTCAGCATTTCCACGTGTGATGCTGTGAGCTTCCCACAATCATGAGTTATTACATACCCCTTTAGATATGAGATCATCAGTTAAAGCTGTAGCGAACGCTCAAGAAAGAGCAAGAGGATAACCTGGTTCAAGTGTTTTCTGTGGCTGATGTGTTTGTCCACTTGATGACCTTGCACATCTATCCCTCTCCACATTCACAGCCAGGGGGCAGAGTGAAAGCTGTGAGTGGGACCATGTTTTTGAGATTAGAAGTGTTCTAACATAGGTTACTGACCAAAGCCTATCCTTCCCTGGCTGCAACTTGTGACTAAGGTTGATACAAACTCCCCAAGAGCTTCAAGTACAATGAAACCCAGGGTTTGGTGTGTGCCATCTCGGAGGCCATGAGGCTCAGTGCCTGCTCTGTTACTAACATTGCTTTCTTGCTTTACAGGTGGCTCCCTACTCAGCTTGGTGATGTTTAAATTCTCTGCCAATGCTTCCAGTTAACTTTCTGATGAACAGGCTGCCTTGGAATTCTGTTTAGCTTGAAAATCCCAACAGACAGAGTTTCTAAATACTACAAAACCAATCTGCTTACACTTCCCTCTAATGTTACTCATTTCTCAGCCTCAGAGCTTCATTCAGGAACATGACAAACGTGACCCTAACTGCCTTATACATCTACTTGTCTTTTCCAGGAACAAAGCTAAAGAAAACTTCATGAATAAGCATAATTTTTAGTACCTTGAAAACAAACATTTCTCCTCTAAAGAGAGCCACGGTGTTAAAATTGCCATCGCAGATGTTTGGTTTTGTGCCAGGAGGAGATGGCCTGTCACCTAGAGGAGGACTGGGAGGCCTAGGCTGTCTCTCGTGTTTTCTTTCCGAAGTGGAATGAATTCTGCGAACAGGAAGAGTCGGTAAAGGCCTGGTTGGCTCCAGAGGCTCAATAGGAGGACCTAGAAATGAAAAGAAAAGTGCTCAGCAAAGTCACAATTTTGGATTTCCAATGCTTCCCTCAGGTTTTAAACAGATTGGATGAACAGCGTTGTGAGGAATTTCTATGTTCTTTATGAACTACCTACAACTAAGAGCTCGCTCCCTAAAAACAAGAGGCACAACAAGATGCATCCACACATGAAGGATGTCCCAAAACAGGCGAGGGATAAGAACTGCAGAAGAGCCAGTATGTTTTCATAGGTCCTTCCAAGGAGGCTGCAGATAAAACAAGGAGGATGCACACTAATCACACTCCCAGCTGAAATGAAAGATAATTGCCACTGAATACAAACGTTTATTAGCCTACTGGAAAAACAACAACCAAAACAACAACAAGGTCAGAGTGCAAAAAAACTGCTGCAATGTAAGGGAAACTGCAGTATTAGCACACTGGACAATGCTGATCCTCATAAAAGGAGTTACCCTGTTGTTCATGACTGTCTTGTTCACAGAAGGAATCTACTGGTAAGGATTATGATAGCCACGGGGGCTGTACGCCCATGGGATCAGAAGAGGAGATCTGCAAACAAACATTCTGAACTACAGCACTTAAAATGGTTGAGCACTCAGCCCCGTGTCAACTTAGCCCCTAAATGTTCCCTTTTCAAAAGGTTCCTATAAAGAACAAACACTTAACATGCCTCAGAAGGGTGACTGAGCCACTGAAAGTCATCAAAAAAGTCATCACATTTAATTTTTATGAGTTCCTACCAAGAACTGTGCCTACAAGGTTCACGATCGTAAGTTCAGAGTGCACCACTCTGATAGCTCAGACTAACTTCTGCATAATCAGGCCAGAAGCCTTCAGATGCAAATCCTCTGACAAATCAGAGTTTCTGTTACAAGATGCAGCGCATTTTCCAGACAGAGACATGCAGCTTGGGCCTGAAGCCTTCAGCAGGAACTCCTCTGTAACGCACAGCAATCTGCTCCAGTAATTAAGCCCTGGCGCTCTGAAGGCTGTGCCTTACCCAGTGTCTGAGTTTGTGCAGGTTCAGATTCAGCATTTTTTCCATTTCCTATTTCTAGTGGCTCATCGTTTAAATATTAGTAGGTCTTGATATGGAAGAACTTCAATTTCCCCTTAACAAACTAAACAGACTAATTACTGCTGTTGCTGCAATGTCTTTTGGTTTTGACATCCTGAGACTTACAGCTGCTTTATAAAGACTTTCATAAGGATCTCCATACTTTCACAAAGTGACATGTCCTTATCCTATGACATCTCCTATTTTTATTAGCAACTATCTTGATTTTCATCCCACAACTTTGATGAATGAGTCTGTAACAATCAGAAAAATCAACACAACGGAACGGTGATACAAGAGGTGCAATAACAAAGGGACTAACACAACAGAAAGGTGCTATAAGGGAAGGAAAAAGAACTGCTCACCTGTCTCAGAACTTCTAGGCTCACAGGTAAAAACCCCACAAAGGAGGGATCTCCCAAAAGAGATCCTTCCCCCACGGCAGTCAGCCCTCAAATGAGATCTGAGAGGTGCAGCCAGGCTCAAACCCTTCTGGTTCCAAAGCTGAACTGCCTTCACCTGTGCTCCCAGGGCTGACCAGGTCCTTTCCCCAGGTGATCAATCAGTGGTTCAGCCTGGAACTCAACAGTTCCCATATAAATATTTGAGGTGAGGATTCTCTGTTGACAAGTTACCCTTGGAAAGGTGCCAGCTAATTTGTCTACATTAATTGAAGGAAAAATGACACTGTTACCATGTATTTCTCATCTACCTCTGCCCTTAGCTGGTCGGTGCCCAGTACCTTAGCAGGCCATAAAGTTTTTTTAATCAATTTCCCACACTGTGACACTGCTGTTGCTAATTTCCCCACTGCTGTTGTGAATTTCCCCAAATATTACACAGCAAGGATTTCCAGGAGCTGCCCATCATAGAAGCCAGCAGGGTTAGAGCCCCCGGTTAGCTGATCAGTATGGGAGCATCTACACTCGTGCTTTGGTTGAGGTAGGAGTGTGCCTTTGAAGAGAATCTCTCAACCAATTGCAATTTCTGTGCTTAGATTCTCATCAAAACGCAAGAAATACCTTCCTTTTCTGTGAAACTAAACTTGAAAATGCATTTCTGGAGCACATCTAGTACAAGGCAGATGCAAATAGGCATCACGGGGAAAGGCTAAAAGTAATCCATAGTTCTGCCTTCTACCAAATACATACAGAGTAAGAGACAAGTTCTCAGAACTCTATTTACCTAATGCCATCCCCAAATACCCCTGCATCTACAGACATGCTACTAGTAATCTTGCTCTCTGCCCAGATGTAAACAGCCATAGGCAACACACTGCCATGCATAGCACGTGCAACAGCATCTCCTCCAACAAGCCACCCTCCAGCTGGCACTTCTGATTCAGGCTGAGAGCTGGTGGAGGCAGGACTGAGTTGGTACAGCAGGACAAGCTGCAGAGGAAGGACTGGAACGTGGAATGAGGCCCCATGCTGATCTCACTCACTGAAAGCCAGTGCTCTGGTTTGTTCAGCTGTGTGATGGGAGCGTGGTCTTCAGCTCCTGCTTTGGCAAATTAAAAGGGGCAGAAAATTGGACGCCTGTATGGCTGCCAAATTGGAAGCCTGTGCAGCTGCCAGAACTGTTATAAAATCTCTACTGCATGTTCTGTATGATGAGATTCCTATGCCAGCACCCCACTGCAAAGTTCACCTTTCTAAATGAGATTGCAGCATGTTGCTGCAACAGAACAACAGAGGCACAGTTCTTTGTTCTCCGATTTGCAAGAGGCTAACAGTGCCGTGCACTGACCTACACAAAGGTGCATTTCTTGTTGCCACGTATAGATCAGAAAAAAACTTATTTGGTGTGAATTTGACATGGTGGAACGTTTTCATGAGACAGCTATTGGGCAGCCTGTGGAAGCCCACCAGCAGTTTCAGCACAAAGTCTACACCTGGGATAGATCCTTGTGCTGTGCAAAGCAGCTAGAAGCAAATTCCCAACATGGGAGCAGGAATTGCTCTCTGGAGCACTGCTGCCTTTAAAAAGGGTGAGATGAGCAGCAATTTGCAATGCAGAGAGGAACACCTGCTGTCAGAGGGAGCTGTCTGGGAGGGAACCAAGAAGTCTCTGTGTTATGTGCATGTGTGATGTAATTCACAGTGCCTGCTGGAAGGACCCACATAGAAAGGGAGCGACAACCAAGTCCAGGCCATTCTGCTTCTTATACGCAGCAAACAGACAAGGACTGAAACTGTATCACTGGAAGTAATAAGATTCATTAATTAAAGGCGTGGTTTCTTAAAGGCGAATAAATTTGGTTAAGAGGGAGAAAATAACAAAAAACAAAGCAGGCTCATTTCAGATGAGTATCTTCACCTTGTTAGAACAGCTCAACTATTATGGAAGGATGTGTAAGAAAACAGGTTAACACAACCAGAGCCTGGGAAACTGCAGAATGAAGCAGTGGGAGTGGGTTCTCTTGGTTCAGCGATGGCGAAGGGAGAGGCAGAGAGGAAGAAGACAGGGCAGTGGAGAAGAACTGGGGTAAATTGCCCGAAGATGCTGTGGACACTCCAGCCTTGGAGACTTTCCAGGCTCAGCCAAAAAAAGCCATGACAGGTGGCAAGCAATGCTGGCAACAGTGCTACTGTGGGTGACAGTTTTCACTAGAGACTCCAGAAATCCCTTCCAACCCAAATGCTTCTACCGTCAAAAGACTGACAGTGTAAGTGACAGGGGGAACAGAACAGCTTTATTTCCAGAGCAGGGACAGAAACATGCACAGTGTGTGGGGACAAGGGGCTGCTCAGGGGAAAGGAGCTGCGTGCTCCTTGTGAGCAGGGGATACCCAGTGCTGGACACCCGCCTGCTGTGTTGGTGACTGCGGCCAGTAGCATCTTGTTTCACAGTCAAAGCACCAGGAAGGAATAAGCGGCCATCTCGTATCATCTGCTATGTAGCATGTATCAGTATATCATTCCTGTTGCAACTAAGCTAGTTTTTGAATATATTTAATATTAATAAGATGAAAAGCCAGAAGTGAAAGACTCATTGCAATCCTTACTAAAACTGTTCCAGTCAAAAGACACTGCAGGAATTAAAAGTACTGCCCTTCATTTACACTCTGGGTTCACGGAACTGGAAATGGTTAACCTTCCCCAGTGAAATCTAAAGGCCACTCTTGTAGTTTGGTTTTCTGAGCAGGTGCCTGGCCTTGATCCATAACCAAATCCAGAGATGTGAGCACAGACTGTTCCCACTTCAAGGCTTCCAAGCAACTTCAAGGCACCAAGCCCAGGGGTGCCACCTTCAGGCTTTGGTGCTCTTCTCCCCAACAAGAGATTGGATGAATGAGATGCCCCACACAGATGCTTCAAAGGCAGCAATCTGGAGCACAAAAATGTGGCTGAGGGGAGAGCATGGCTTGAAGGCCATCACGTGGGGTTGAGAATCTCCACAGGGAGCTTTTTCTGTTACACTGCGGGCTCGAATTCACAAGGGAGGACCACTCATTACAGCCAGCCCTACCCACAGCGCAGGACAGCAGTCGCAGTCTCTCTAAGGCTTATGCACCCAGAGTCACAGACTTAGTAGAGATGAGGAAAGTTAAAATAGCACCTACAAGCCTTAAAGGCTTTAATTAATTCTAGGATGCCACTGAAATAGAATGCAGGAGACTTGTGAGGGAGATGCAGTTGTTGCAGACTGAGGTCTTGAAGTTGAAAGTCACTGGACCAACAAGCTGAGCTGGGTCACCAAATGCTTTGATTCCTTGCAATGGCCAAACTAGCTGTGGGCACTGCTCTGAAGGAGACAGCCAGGCTTCCCACACATTTTGCAGGTGGTACTGCAAATCGCTGGGATGCAGACTCCACCATTTCACTTACAATGCTGCTCTTACTGTCTTTCCTTGCCAACAATGGCTTCTTCCTTGTTGTTTTTCACTTCCCTTCTTGACCTTACGCATTCTGGGCTCCTGATAAATACTG